TCCTCCTCCTCCTCTTCCTCCTCCTTCCTCCTCCTCCTCCTCCTCCTCCTCCTCCTCCTTCTCCTTCTTCAAGTATATATTTTATTGATTTTTTTTTTTACAGAGAGAAAGGGGGAGAGATACTGTATTTTCTGGCGTATAAGATGACTTTTGAAACGGAAAAAAAACCCTGCTCAGATTGGCCAGAGTCAGAGAGGCGGTCTATTAAAAAAAGAACTGGTGTTGCCTCGGAAGTGGGGAGGTAGTCTTATACAACGAATCTAGGCCTAAACCTATGTTTTAATGTTAAAATTAGGGGGGTCGTCTTATACGCCGGAAAATACGGTAGTTAGAAACATCCATCAGCTGCCTCCTGCACACCCCTCACTAGGAATGTGCCCGCAACCAATGTACATGCCCTTGGCCGGAATCGAACCTGGGACCCCTCAGTCCGCAGGCCAATGCTCTATCCACTGAGTCAAACTGGTTTTGGCAACAGGTGGGGATCATCAGAGTTGCCAAGGGCCCCCCGAGATTTTCTAACTCTGCTCTCATGATTCATGTAGAGACCGAAGGCCAGCGTGCGGGTGCCTCCCAAGCCGCAGAGCTGGTGAATGGCCCACCAGGGCCCACGTACAGACATGTGGCCTTCATGTCAGGGCGCGGCGGGGGCCGCAGGGGGTGCGGTGGGAAGGCAGAGGCCAGAACAGCCCTGGGCCCTCACATCATGGAGGAGGGTTAACACGGGCCCCCAAACATCTTTTTCTTCCCCCTGAGACTTCCCCCTGCATGTCCAGGTGGGATGCGAACATGGAGCTCACCCGCCAGGAGAGCCACAGGGGGACAGAAGTAGGACTGGGCCTGGCCAAGTAGCTCAGTTGGTTGGAGTGTCATCCTGAGTCACCAAGGTTGTGAGTTCAATCCCCTGTCAGACCACATACAAGAATCAACCAATGAATGCATACGTAAGTAGGATAATATCTCTCTCTTTCTCTCTCTCTCTCTCTCTCTCCTCTTTCTCTCTCAAAATCAACACCTAAAAAATTTAAAAAGCCCTGATCAGTGGGGCTCAGTTACTTGAAGCATCATCCCATTCCACACACCAGAAGATTCCCTGTCTGGGCACATACTCAGGTTGCGGGTTTGATCCCTAGTCAGGGCATGTGCAGGAGGCAACTGATCTCTCTCACATCAGTGTTTCTCTCTCTCTCTCTCATCAATTTTAAAAATTCACCTTTAAAAATGTTTTCAATAAGAAGTAGGATTGGAGCAGAGGCAGAGCGGCTGAGGGAAATTCTTCTCTTTTCTCCGTTTTCTAATCCTTTCTGAAGTGGCATGAACAATAAGAAATTATGAGGACAATCTGGGGGGAAGAGTGAAGCAGACAGAAGCGATAAGAGGCAGAGGCAGAGGGTTTTAGAATCCATTTTGAGTGGCTTGGAAAGGAGGACCAGAAAGAAAGCAGAGGAGTGGAGTCCAGGAGGAGAACTCCCCCCCCCCCCCAGCCTTCCCTGGGGTCAGGTGGGGAAACTGAGGAAGCCACAGGAATTGAACAGCCACCCGGGGCCCTGAGCCCAGCCTTCCCACCACAAGACCACTGCAATCTCCCGATGTGGGCAGAGAGGGCCGGAGAGCAGGGGGTGTCAGAGGCACCCTGTTGGACACTTGTCATGGCCACCGAGGCCTGCCCAGCACCCTTGTCCATCCTATCACCCCAAGACAGCCTCCCCCTGAAGAAAAATGTCCGCCACACCCCCAGAGGGCCCAGGAGCCTGGCCACTGTGACAAGACCAGGGACCCTGAAGAAGGAGAGAAAGGGGAGGTGGAGAGATGGGAAGGGAAAGCAGGAGAGGGATGGGGAGGGGAGGGGAAGGGAGGGGAAGGGAGAGAAGGCTGCCAGGGAGGGCTGGCGACAGGGAAGAGGGAGGGAGCGAGCAGGGCTGGGGAGCTTGGCCCAAATCAGGACGGAAGCAAAGAAGTGGGGTGAGGGGCGGGAGGAGGGACAGTGGGGGTGATAGAGGCTCCCAGGACTCCTGCCCTCCCTCCCTCCCTCCCTCCCCCTCTCACTTTTATGATCTTGAAACAACCTTCAAGTCTGGGCCCGAAGCCCCAGGAGGCCAGTCTCTTAGGAAACGCGGCTGTTTCTTGGAGACCTTGAGAGCCATCTGCAGCTGGGCCGTGCTCCCCCCTCGTCTCAGGCGCATTCTCCCATGGCCTCTCACGTACACCCACAGGGGCCGGTCCCTCCTCCACCGCCCCTGGCTGGCCGCGGGCACGCACCCCGCTACACACACAGCTGGTATTCACAGGACTGTGGCCTCTCCTGTCCCAGGAACGTCTCCTCTGGAATGGCCATTTTGCGCCCTGGCCACTGTGGCTCAGTGGATAGAGCACCGGCCTGCGGACTGAAGGGTCCCGGGTTTGATTCCGGTCAAGGGCATGTCCCTCGGTTGCTGGCTCCTCCCCGGCCACACTGGTCTGGGCTCGTGCCGGAGGCAACCAAGAGATGTGTTTCTCTCACGTGGATGTTTCTCCCTGTCTTTCCCTCTCACTTCCACTCTCTCTAAAAAGCATTGGAAAAATATCCTTGGATGAGGATTTAAAGAACAAAAAAGGCTCAGTGGGATTACCATGTGGTACGTTCCCAGGTCTCTTCTCCACACGCATCCCATACAGCGATGCCCCCTCCATCATTAGCTAGCACACACCTGGGTACACGTACAGACGTGTGCCCATATACTACTCTGCCTCTCTTTCAAACACCCTCGCCCACACACACACACATACGCACACACACGCACACACACACACACACACACACACCCCTCCCTCCCAGATTTCCCCAGGCCAGTCACCCACTGGGTTTAGGACCCCCATCCACCCTTTGTCAACCCCCTCTCTGCCCTGTGCCTTTCAAACCCACGCCCCAGACCGGTCCCCTGACTCCCCCGCCTCCTACTTCCAAGTCTTCGTTCCTCACTGCAAGGGCCTCGTCCACACTGGCACCGGTGACCGTGTTCCAAGGAGCAGGAGCCCAGACCAGGCTCCCAGACCAGAGGACCGGGCATCAGCACCCATTCGTGCCCTGGAGTCTGGTCCACAGCCAGAGCCTAGGCCGTCCCTTCAGGGCTGCCCCCCTCACGTGGGTAGGGAGGGTGCTGTGGAGGAGGAAGCGGCCCCGGGTCCCACCATCTGTCGTTCGGCCCCAATGTGGGGGCCGCGGTGCCCTTGGGGCTGTGGCTGGCCCCAGTGCAGACAGGCAGGGAGCCTGCCAGGCAGTATGGGCACAGGAAGGGCACAGTCCCTTCCGGCGCTGGGCCTGACCACGGGGCCCGGAGCCAGGGCTGGAAGGGCTGGCAGCTCGGGGAGGAACTGGCAGGCTGAGGGAGGGGGAGCCGAGACCAGGAGAGCCCAGCACCGATGCCTACACACACACACCTTCAGGCTCTGGGGCCCATTTCTCACCTCTCACCCCTGGTGTCTGCAGAGGCAGAAGGCAGCCCAGAACCCAGCCCAGGCGCTAAGGGACAAGCGCTTCCTAACTCCCGAGTCACCCTCTGTCCACCCTGAGTGGGGACCAGGCTGCCCTCCAGCCGCCCTGTGTTGAGCGCCCTTGCCCCTGAGGCCAGAGGCCCCCAGGGACATGGAGGCAGCCTCCCTGGTGTCTAACCGCAAGCTCCTCGCTGCACCTTCAGCTCCATCCGCTCCTCCTGCACACGGGGCCCTGACCTGGGCCGGGTTCCTGTTTCCGCCCCATCCCCTCCCAGGCCCACGTTCAAGGTCGGCTGAGGGGCCCAGAGGGCCAAGGTGGCTGCCCACTTGTCAGCCGGGAGGTGAATGAGGAAGTGAAAGCGGGTGTGACCTTCTGACCGCTTAGTGAGAGGGGCCGTTCTGGGGGGAATCCAGACCTGAGCCCTGTGCCCTCCGATGACCTGCGGGAGGACAGGCCGGTAATCCCTCCACACGGAGCTTCCCGGGGCCAGGGACGGACAGACCAGCCCCGCCAGTGGCACCTGAGGCCTCCAGACCAGAGGCCCCAGCCCTGCCCTCCTGGCCTCCCGGCCTCCCGGCCTCCGCGGGGCTCAGGATGCTCAGACTTGCCCCCAGCCCGCGGGCCTCCCTTCATTCCCTCTGTGTGGCCACAGAAATCGGGGCCCTCAGGACAATCCTTCCCCTGACGACTTCTGGAGGAGGCAGGGGTCGCGTCTTCCCTCTGCCCTTCTGTTCTCCCTGCCTCCCTTTGTCCCTCATTCCTTGTCTCCCTGACGGAAAAGCAGCAGCAAGACCCTGCAATCAACTGGTCCCACCTGGGTCGCCTCCTCTCTGCCATGCTAGCTGGTTACCGACACCCCTTCCCACCCCTCCCCGCCTTCTCCGGACTTCGGACCTGGAGCCCCCTTTGGCTCTCACGGGTCCTTCCCAGGCTCTTCGCTTACAAGGGCAGGGCCCGGCTTGGGTTCGAGGCCATTTACTTCCTCTGACGGCAGGGTCCCCCGGGCTTCTCTGGGGGGCTGGAGGGAGGCTCAGGGGACCTGGCTTCTGGTTCTGTCCGTTTACAGTGTTTAATCTCCTGGTGCCTGAGTTTCCTTATCACAAGGAAGGTGCACCCTGTGCCTTCGGGCTTCGGGGATGCTGGGGGACTGCTCCCCTCTGCCAGGCCCCAGGGGTGCATTCACACCCTCACTCTCCCCTCCACCCCCCACACCCCCCTGCCCCGGGCTCCTCGGCACTGCCTCCAGGGGACAGGAGGGGCGGAGGGGAGCGTGCAGTAGGACCTCCTGACAGCCACTGCCAGTTGCTTTAGGGGCTGGAGGGGAGGAGTCCTCCGGGATCCAGTTTCAACAAACGTTTCTTTCCAGAGGAGGGCGGGCGGGGTGAGGGGGAGAGGGACTATTTAAAGCTACCCGGGTGCTGGTCATCGGTCTGGCTGCTGGGTCCCTGGCCGTCCCCCGCCTGCGGAGTGGCCTGTGAAGTGTCCTGCTACCCTCTCCGGCTGCTCCCCGCCGCCGCTCTGCCCCAAGATGGGCCGTGGGGTGAGTGTTCCCGGAGAGCCGAGTGGCTCTGGGGGAGAGACGGCTCTCTGGAGGCTGAGACCAGAGGGAAAGTGAGGCGGGAAGGGACGTGGAGGGAGGGGCAGAGAGGAGCTGGCCAGTGGGTAGTTTGAACTTGGGACTCACAGTGAAAAGGCACGCACAGGCCACTGCTCACACACGCACAGATCACTGCTCACACACACACAGACACTGCTCACACACACACACAGACACTGCTCACACACACAGACACTGCTCACACACACAGACACTGCTCACCCCCACAACCACTGTTCACACACACAGACACTGCTCACACGCACAGACACTGCTCACACACACAGACACTGCTCACCCCCACAACCACTGTTCACACACACAGACACTGCTCACACGCACAGACACTGCTCACCCCCACAGACACTGCTCACCCCCACAACCACTGCTCACAAGCACAGACACTGCTCACACACACACACGCAGACACTGCTCACACACACAGACACTGCTCACACACACAGACACTGCTCACCCGCACAACCACTGCTCACACGCACAGACACTGCACACACACACACACACACACACACTGCTCACATACACACAGACCACTGCTCACACACACAGACACTGCTCACACGCACAGACACTGCTCACACGCACAGACACTGCTCACACGCACAGACACTGCTCACACACACACACACACACACAGACACTGCTCACATACACACAGACCACTGCTCACACACACAGACACTGCTCACACACACAGACACTGCTCACACACACACAGATCTCTGCTCACACACACACAAATCACTGCTCACACACACAGACACTGCTCACACGCACAGACACAGCTCACACACCCAGACACTGCTCACACACACAGACACTGCTCACATGCACAGAGACCACTGCTCACACGCACAGACACTGCTCACACACACACACAGACACTGCTCACACGCACAGACACTGCTCACACGCACAGAGACCACTGCTCACACGCACAGACACTGCTCACACACACAGACACTGCTCACACACACAGACACTGCTCACATGCACAGAGACCACTGCTCACACGCACAGACACTGCTCACACGCACAGACACTGCTCACATGCCCAGGAGCGTGGCTCTTCTGCATCCCACCCGTGAGGAGCCCAGCCCCCCAGCTCTCCCTCTAGGATGTCCACATCGCATCTCTGCCCATTTTTGGCACAGCCCCCTTCCCCCCTCTCGCCACATTCCCGGCCTCCCTGCAAAGGCAAAGGGGTATCTGGCACTGTCGGTCCTCCCGCCTCCCAGCTCCCGGCTCCTGCAAACCTTCATTTCCCTGGGAGCCCAGCCCGAGAGCATGCAGGTCCCATTTGAGGTTGAAGAGGGGCATCTGCTCCTGAGTCACCAGGCGGCTCAGGCGGCTCAGGCGCCTGAGCTCCGGACAGCTGGGAGGGGAAGGGGGAGGGGAGGGAGGTGATGTCCCCAGGCCCCAGGCCAGCACCCTCCGCAGCTCCTGGCAGCACTGGCTGGGCCCTGGGCTTGGAGGACTTTCCCAGGCTGGTGAGAGCTGCCTGCTGTCTCCTGCCCCGTCTCCTGCCCCATCTGCACTGGGCATGCCAAGGGGAAGGTTAACAGCCAAGGCAGGGGGGCGGGGGCAGGCACCAGGCCTTGGCTCCTTGGAAATGAAATCCTTTCGCAGGCGCCGGCTTCCCTTTTGTGCAATGCCGGGCATGGAGGGAAAGGGCACAGGGAGCCGAGGGGGTGCTGTGGGCAGAGGGGCCTGTGGGACCGGGGCGGTCTCTGGGCCCCTGAGGGGTCAGGCAAGGACTTGTTATTGCACTGAGCTTAGCAGCTGGAAAAACTCTAAGCTTGGACACCAGGGTTCCCGAGCTAGGGTGGGAACCATAAATAGAACGTGTGTGTGTGTGTGTGTGTGTGTGTGTGTGTGTGTGTGTGTGTTTGCGCGCACATGCGCACCCGTGCCTGCTCTCTGTGGGTGGCGTTGAGACACATTCACGGATGAGCACCTGCGTTTGGGTCTCAGCGGCAAATCTGAGAGCAGGCAGACCTCCCAGCCTGCATGGGCACCGATGCCAGGGCATGTGTGTGTGTGTGGGGGGGGAGGTCTGTGAGGAGCTGTCTCTGCAGGAGTTCCATGGAGGTTGCAGTGACAACCGCGGGAAGACAGGCTGCTTTGGAATCTTAGCTGCATCTTGGCATCTCCTGGTCCCCGAGGGAAAGGGGGTCCCCGCTGGGGTGCAGGACCTCCGAGGAGAGGCAGGCGACCCCCCCATCCCCCATTCCCCACCTAGGGCCTCTCCGTGGCTTCGCCTTAAAACAGGGGGGACCCAGCACAAGAGGCCCTGCTTGCAAAGCCATTTGACCTTGACTTTTTCAGGGACCCTAGCTTCTTAAGGACTGTGCCCCCATCCCCCTTCCCCCCCCCGCCCCGCACCAGCATGGATGTTCCCTCCCCTGCTATCCTCAGTGTCAAGTCAGGGAGCCGATCCAGTTCTGCTCGGACTGAGGACGGGTGAAGTGGGGGGACTTGGGGCTGGAGCTTGGAGTTCCCCCGCCAGGAGACTCCTGAGGACAAAAAAGGAGAAAAAGCACCCCCTGCCCACATCCTCGCACCGGGGTGCCCCTCGTCCCTGTCCCTTTGCCCTGCACCTCTCTCCAGAGCAAGGCCTGCCACCCAGCACCCATGGCCGGGAAGGGCAGCGTGGGAGCCCACCCCTCCAGCTGCTGGGACGGGGGGAGCAGTGGCCGACGTCCAGCTTCCCCCTCCGCCCAGCCTCTGGCTTCCTCAGAAAGAACTCTCTGTTCTCTGCGAGCATTCAAGGCCCAGACTGGGGCTGTGGGTGGGGGAGGGAAGAACAGGCTGGAGAGGTGGGGCGGGGGGAGGCAGGGGGGTCCTTGCTTCCTCTCTCTCTTTCTTGCCCAGGCAGCCCGCTGGCCCCAAATCTCCACAGGCTCCTGGCAACCGAGGCTGAGATCCTTGCCAGGGCAGGGGGCGGGGGAAGGGCCGGTGTCCCGAGCTTTGATCCAGGAGGACTGGGCAGCGCTGAGGGAGGGGGTGCTGCGTGGGCCCGCGCCCCGCCACCGCCCGGCATGCTCGACGCAGCTGGCCCGTGGGCTGGCAATTATTTAAAAACCATCCATTGGACTCAGAGCGTCTTGGACTTTAGTTTACATCTGAATGTGAAGGAACCCCAGGCTCTGTTCCTCAGCCCCCAGGGGCACCCCGCTCTGTGCACACACACCCCTCCTCCCTCCTCCCTCCTGCCCCTGGAGCACCAGGGGCCTCCCTGAGCCAAAGGGAGACCTGCCCGCCTGGCCATTCCCTCCCATCCACTTCGCAGCCCTTCCCACCAAGGACAGAGTCTGTGCATCCAAAGCATCTCATTTCATCCAATGGACTCCCCTGAGTCACCTGGGGGAGGGAGGCAGCCCTCCAGGCCACGCCCTCCCCCCCACCCTCCCCCTCTCCCCCGCCCCAGGGCTGCTTCAGGCTCATTGACATTTCACATGGAGATGATGCAAACTCTAGCGCCTATGGGACCAGGCTGCCCACCTCCTCTCACCCTGATGTCCCTGGTCAGACGCCTCCCTGTCCAGGGCAGATTTCCAGTCCACAATCAGAGCAACCGTGCCTTCCTGCATTGTCCTGACGGATGGACACCATGGCTCTCTCCTGGCCACCAAAGGTTTCTGAGGCCGAGAAACCACTCTGTCACTGTCATTGCACATCTGTCCAGACTGTTACACTTTTCTAGAATGTGCACCGGCGAGCGTGAGCTCTCAGGGACCCACAGACTGACAGTGAGCCACTCTGGTGAGGACAGGGATGGGGGGACCACACTGGGGACAGGAATGGGGAGACCACACTGGGGACAGGGATGGGGGGACAGGGATGGGGGGACAGGGATGGGGGGACAGGGATGGGGGGACCACACTGGGGACAGGGATGGGGGGACAGGGATGGGGAGACCACACTGTGGACAGGGATGGGGGGACAGGGATGGGGGAGACCACACTGGGGACAGGGATGGGGAGACAGGGATGGGGAGACAGGGATGGGGGGACAAGGATGGGGGGGACCACACTGGGGACAGTGATGGGGAGACAGGGAGGGGGAGACAGGGATGGGGGGACAGGGATGGGGGACAGGGATGGGGGGACAGGGATGGGGGTACAGGGATGGGGGTACAGGGATGGGGGGGACCACACTGGGGACAGTGATGGGGAGACAGGGATGGGGAGACAGGGATGGGGGAACAGGGATGGGGGGACAGGGATGGGGGACAGGGATGGGGGGACAGGGATGGGGGGACAGGGATGGGGGGACCACACTGGGGACAGGGAGACATGGGAAACGCTCTTTACTTTCTGCTCAACTTTGCCGTGAACCTAAAACTTCTCTAAAAGGAAAGGTGACTTTGGAAATGCACTATACTTCCTAAAAAGGCAAACACCTTGGCCATAAGTCCCAGCCAGGCACCGTTTCCTACAGAAAAAAAACAAAACTAAAAAAACTAACCACACTACAGCATAGAAAAGCACGTCAGGACACCTCGCGTCGCACAGAGACAGGGAGCCATCATGGCTCCCCCCAGAGGGGGCATTCCCCCCCCCCCCCCCCCCCAGGATCCCTGGGAGACAGAGGCCACCTGGTGGAGACTCAGGTGCCAGAGAGGAAAAGGAACGTGGCGGCCTCATCAGGCGCCTGTAAAACGTTTCTCCGAATGTCTGGGCCTAGGAGCCACAAGAAGTTGTTTTATTTATTTTTATCATTATTTTTTCATATATATTTTATTGAGTTTTTACAGAGAGGAAGAGAGAGGGATAGAGAGTTAGAAACATTAATGAGAGAGAAACATCCATCAGCCGCCTCCTGCACACCCTCTACTGGGGATGTGCCTGCAACCCGGATCGAACCTGGAACCTTTCAGTCTGCAGGCCGACGCTCTATCCACTGAGCCAAACCGGTTTCGGCAGAGAAGTCCAACCACCATCAGCAAAGAGTGCGCTCCTAAGTCCTGAGTCCCTCAGTCTCCCCTGAAATTCAAACACAGAGCCCCGGGTCTCTGTCAATAGTTTGCAAACGAAGGGGTTCCCTCACCCCCATTTCCACCACGGGAGCATCCCTGCTTTGCACCCACGGCCCCCGCTCCCCAGGCCTGGCTCCCTGCTGCCAGGGGGGAAAAGAGGCTCCGCCTGTCCTCCTGACGCTCTGGGCTCTCCCTCCTCCCGCAGGCCGGACGCGAGTCCTCGCCCGCAGCCACCACTGCAGAGAATGGAGGCGGCAAGAAGAAGCAGAAGGAGCGGGAGCTGGACGAGCTGAAGAAGGAGGTGGCCATGGTGAGCCCCACCGCCCGGCTTGGGGACCCATGTTAGGCGAGCGGCCCTGCAGCCCGCTGCACTCAGAGAAGCTCATGCCCCCATCTTCCTTCACCCCCATCTTCCCTCTGCCCCCCATCCGCCCTCTCCCTCCACCCCCCGCACGCCATGCTGCTCTCGTTGACCTCACGAACACTCTAAACACCACACTCAGCCTCCCTCCTCACAGCAATTCTGCTTCCACCCCCAGGATGACCACAAGCTGTCCTTGGACGAGCTGGGCCGCAAGTACCAAGTGGACCTGTCCAAGGTGCGTGGAGGGGCTGGGAGGACACCGAAGAGGGGAGAGAACACGCAGCCGCAGCAGGGGCCAGGGACCGTCCACCTGTCATCCAGCCCGTTTCACAGATGGAGAAACCGAGGCCCGATGACTAACAAGAACCCAGATGCCCTGCTTCCTAGTCTTTTTTTTTTTTTTTTTTTTTAATATATTGTATTGATTTTTTTTTTTTTTTTTTTTTTTTACAGAGAGGAAGAGAGTGGGATAGAGAGTTAGAAACATCAATGAGAGAGAAATATCCATCAGCTGCCTCCTGCACACTCCCTACTGGGGATGTGCCCGCAACCAAGGTATTATACATGCCCTTGACCGGAATTGAACCTGGAACCCTTCAGTCTACAGGCCGATGCTCTATCCACTGAGCCAAACCGGTTTTGGCTGCTTCCTAGTCTTGAGCCCTTTTCCTATGTACTACTCACCCTTTAACGCCAGGATCCTGGGGACCCAGGCCCCGAAGGCCTCCAGGCGGGGCTCTCTCTCCCTCCATAGCTTCCATGATGCGCGATCTCTCACGGCACTGACATACATGAAATTGTGGAGTGACCTATTACTATTCACCATGGCATGTTGGGACCCTGCTATGTATGCACGTTTTACATACATGTTTCTAATCCTTGCAACCTGGAGAGACAGGTGCTGTGGACCTCTTTCTTAGAGTGAGGAGACTCGGAGGAGGAGCACAGCTTCCCAAGGTCTCATCCATAGCAAGCAGGCCGGTCAGATTGCCATGCCCATCGCTTTGAAAAAGAAAAACATTATTAATGAAAAATATGGTCGTGTGGCCTCCTCCTGTGGGCCGGGCCCTCCATGATTGCCCTTTTGGAAAGTCTATGGCCCCCATTGCTTTCCCTTAGTCACACTTCCACTCTCGGGCAGTAAAATCTATCGCGTGTCACCTTCCTAGACCATAAGATCCACAAATCAAGGACTCTGTGGGTCTCATTCTATCTCTGGGCAGAGCTGATAATAGAGCCCGGCATTCGTACACATTTATTAAAAAAATGGGGATAGATAGAAAGATAAGTAAAAAGCGTCCTCTGCCTTAAGGTTCTCAAAGTCTAGTGGCCAAGAGGAATGCCTAGATTTCCGCGTGGTGGCGCAGCTCTGGAATCATGGGTGCAGAGAGGGGCGTCTGAGGGGAGCAGGCCGGGCCGGGCTGTCTGGGGAAAGTGATGGGTGTAGGACTCTTCTTAACTCCTCGGTGTAATAAACACAAATGTTCCTTGGTGATGTGGGGAGTCTGGAGGAAGAGAGATGGGGGTGGGAGGGTAGGAACCGATAGAGAAGACCTTCCAGTGGGCCTCGCCAGACTGCCTCCAGAGGAGGTTACTGTGGCCCCGATGTGTCTGGATCCAGTGATGACCAGAGAAGGGGCCCGCACTAAACTCCTCCTCACCCTCAGGGCCTCTAACACCCATTGCAAACTCCACCTCCTTCCCGGGGCCTCTCCTGGCCCCTCTGCCCTCCAACCAGATGGAGTTTCCTCTCACCTGGGCATTACTTCCTGCTGACAAGCTGGAGGGAAGTGGTGAGGGGCCAGATTGGTTCTGGATGCGAATTCCCCACCCCCACCCCCCTTTTCCTTGCCTCCCTCAGGGCCTCACCAACCAGCGGGCCCAGGACATTCTGGCCCGGGATGGGCCCAACGCCCTCACCCCGCCCCCGACCACCCCCGAGTGGGTCAAGTTCTGCCGCCAGCTTTTCGGGGGCTTCTCCATCCTGCTGTGGATCGGGGCCATCCTCTGCTTCCTGGCCTACGGCATCCAGGCTGCCATGGAAGATGAGCCATCCAACGACAATGTGAGCTGGAGTGCCTGACCCCGGGACCCGCCCCCAACTCTGTCCTCCAACCCCGAGTCTCTGGTCTAGCTGGGGGGCAGGGAACAAGGCCCTCACGTCACAGTGCTCTGTAGGCTGGAAATGGGTGAGGCTCCTATATATGCCTGTAAGCATCCCAACATTCACAGACAGACAACCACTCAAGAATGAGAAGGCCCCTTGCTGTTCCATTACACTTAAGGGGGCCTCTCTGCCATCCCTCAGTCTTCACACCCTAGAGAAGACCCAGCCCTGGGCACGCCCTAAGGCTCTCACCACGCCTTCCAGCCTCAGGGGGCTGGGGGCTGGAAGACTGAGGGGGGAGTCAGAGAGAAGGGCTTCTCCTCCACCATTTTCACTTCCAGTCACAGACAGAGGTGGCTTGTCCCATGTGGCAGTTGGTGCCTCAGGGTTGAGAGACGGGCAGGTCTCTCAAACCCTGTCTCCCTGCCAGCTGTATCTGGGCGTGGTGCTGGCCGCTGTGGTCATCGTCACCGGCTGCTTCTCCTACTACCAAGAGGCCAAGAGCTCCAAGATCATGGACTCCTTCAAGAACATGGTTCCGCAGGTAGATGGATGGCCAGCCTGGGCTCTGGGCTGGGACAGGAGGTTTCTGGGCGGGTCCAGCCCATCCCTTCTCAATCTTGTGTTCTGAGATGGAGGCTTGGACAGAGTCTCTCTAGGTCTCTACCCCAGGACCTAGTTTTGCTGCTAAGGGCTCCTCCCCCTCCTCAGTGGGGTTGAAGGAGAGGAGGGGAAAGCAGCAGGAGAGAGAAGTAGTGACCTTGGCCTCCCCATAGCAAGCCCTCGTCGTGCGGGAGGGTGAGAAGATGCAGATCAACGCGGAGGAAGTGGTGGTGGGCGACCTGGTGGAGGTGAAGGGTGGAGACCGTGTCCCTGCTGACCTCCGGATCATCTCTTCCCATGGCTGTAAGGTGAGGAGGCCATGCCAGAGCATGGCTGGGTCTGAGGAGAAGGCTGTAGAGAGCCGAGAGGGGCCCAGGTAGAGGTTGGAAGACAGGAAGAGCCAGATCCAAAGGCCAGCACCTACCCCATAGCTCCCAACTGTACCCGGTAGTGCTTAGGCCTTGTCTCCGCGTAGCTGTGTGTGATGACTGCTCTGTGCCTAGGTATGTCTTTGATATCGACTTTACAGCCATCTTGTACTGAGCCCCCATTATTGTCAGGTGATTTTTTTTGTTTTGTTTTTAATTTTTATTTATTGATTATGGTACCACATAATTGTCCTCACCTCCCCCCCCCCCCCACCGTTCCCATCCCAAACCCCTCCCCACATATACCCCCACCCCACTGTTGTCCATGGCCACTGGTTAGGCTTATATGCATGCACACAAGTCATTTAATTGATCTCTCCCCCTTACCTCCAACCTCCCCTACCTTCCCTCTGAGGTTTGAGAGTCTGATCGCTGCTTCCCTGTCTTCAGGTCTGTTTTTGTTCATCAGTTTATGTTGTTCATTATTTCCTCTAGATGTGTGAGATCATATGATCCAAGAAATGTCAGATGTTTTATATACATTCACATATGCCATGGAATTCAGCTCTGTGAGACTGGCCTAATCGTGCAGGGCTGTTGCATGTGGCCACACTAGGCAGTGCCGTTTTCCCAGACTACAGTGGCGATGGCACCCCCTGTAGTTGTGCATGGCATAGATTCTGATTACATCCCCCATTTTACAGACTTAAGACCAAGGTCACATTCGAATTCCGCAAGAGCTAGGATTCCAAAGCAGCACAGGGACAATAGCTGAGCGGCGCTATAAATATGTGATGAGGACAAGTGTAGTTTTGTCCCCCGCGTCACGGAGACAGCGTGCAGTTGGAGTCGGAAGACAGCTGTGTGTGCACAAGTGCGACTGCCAAGCTGACGACTGCACCCTCCCCGCTTCCTCCGCAGGTGGACAACTCATCCCTAACCGGGGAGTCAGAGCCCCAGACCCGCTCCCCCGAGTTCACCCATGAGAACCCCCTGGAGACTCGCAATATCTGTTTCTTCTCCACCAACTGTGTGGAAGGTGAGGGGCAGCCGGGGGGGGGGGGGAGGGGGGAGGAGGGGGCATCATCCCAGCCCCCATGGAGGGAGGAGTCTGAATCCTGAACCCCCAGTAGGATTGAGGGCTGTGGCTGCACTTACTCATCAAAAACCCTGCTATAGAGGAGGGACCTGAGGACTTGGGGATGGGGATCCTTGAAGATTACAGAAATCATCCACCCGTGTTTTTCTGGGCTTCTCCCCTCTTTCAGCAAGTTGGAATTATAATGAAAGTCACCACACCTTAAGTTTCCTAACTTTTTAATGTATACTGAGATTCTACATTTTCCACAAATATTAAACACGCTTAGTAAAACATTTCCATTGCTTTCTCTAAAACTGGCCTTAAAGAAAGCATAGGAAATGAATGGAACTAACATTTGATGAGTGCCTACTATGTGCGAGGCACTGGTCTGGGTATTACAGCACAATCTGGTTTGTTAAAACAATCCCTAGGTAGAAACTCAAACAAGGATTCAAGCTCAGGTTTGGCTGACTCCAACTCTTCCCACTGCCCCACTCTCCTCCCCTATAGGCCCCTTTAATGTCTACCTGAGGGTCAGTAATGGCCTGGCTTCTTTGTGGGAGTCATGCCTAATGTTGAGAAAGAAAATCTTAAGAGTCCATGGGAAATCCATCATAAGTGCCTTACTTTGTGTTCATACTATACTTGTGGGTAATATGTAGGAGATTGATTTTACTGAAGTACTGCAGGCAGCATTTTTGTTTTACTTATTGAATCTCCTCCGTTTGAACTTAAAGTTTATTTGCAAGTCTTTCCACAGGCCCACGCTTACACTTGAAATAATCTGCTGTTGCACTGAGCTGGGGGTTGGCAGTGTGGGCAAGAAGAGAGAGCCCATTGCCCTTGGCTCAGTGGATAGAGCGTCAGCCTGCGGACTGAAAGGTCCCAGGTTTGATTCCGGCCAAGGGCACGTGCCTGGGTTGAGGGATTGATCCCCAGTAGGGTTGTGCAGGAGGCAGCCGATCAATGAGTCTCTCTCATCATTGATGTTTCTATCTCTCTTTCCTCCCTTCCTCTCTGAAATCAATAAATAAATATATTTAAAAAAAAAAAAAAAAAAGAAGAAGAAGAAGAGCAAGCCCAGGGAGGTACAATCTACTGACACTCCGGGAGCAGAGTCTTTGGTCCATTTCCCCGGGGATAGATTTTCTTCCTCAGGAAGCAGGACAGGACACAAATCCTGGGACCCAAGGCACCCAGCCTGGCGTCACTTCCTGTGTTGCAGGCACTGCCAGAGGCATCGTGATTGCCACCGGTGACCGGACGGTGATGGGCCGCATAGCCACCCTGGCCTCCGGCCTGGAGGTGGGGCGGACCCCTATTGCCATGGAGATTGAACACTTCATCCAGCTGATCACGGGGGTGGCTGTGTTTCTGGGCATCTCCTTCTTTGTGCTCTCCCTCATCCTGGGCTACAGCTGGCTGGAGGCCGTCATCTTCCTCATCGGCATCATCGTGGCCAACGTGCCTGAGGGGCTGCTGGCCACCGTCACGGTGAGTGGCCGGGTGGAGGTGCTGCGGGGGGTGGGTCTTGCTACCCTTTTCCTCAACCATGATGGAGGCTTATGGCTCATCAGCAATGTTTTCACCGCCAGCCCTTCAAATCACATATCAGATTCTCATTTCATACCTGGCCTAGAGGGTGAGTCTGAAAAAGGTCATGGAATACCCAGCTCAGAGGTTGGGTCTGAAAAATCTCCGGGTGCCTATGCTTTGGCAGGCAGTCTCTCTCCCACAGCTTGTCATCGTCACCTCTTCTCACCACCCACGTGCTGCTCATCTGCCCCTGTGGTCCAGACCTTCTCCTAGCCAGCACCCCGCTGTAAACGCTCCCTCAAAGGTCACCAGCGACCACCTGGCGAAGCCAGAGGCCTTTTCTCAGCTCCTATGCTCAGCTCTGCTGCCAAGAGGAACCCTTCTGTCCACCTGCCGGGATCCTCTCCTTCACTGAGGACTGTGACGTGTCACTACCCTGGTTCTCCTCTCCTCTGTCCCCAGCAGGGTCCTCTCCTTCTCCCCCAAACTGAGTCTCCGGCCTCAGCTCTCTGCTCTTCTCCTTACACGCTTCTGTCATCCCAGTTTCCACTGCCCGTTCGGTGTGGGTGACTCTCACCCCTTCGCCCAGCTCTGCTCTGGCCCTCTCCGGAGCTGTAGACAAATGTCTTCAATCCATACATTTCCCCTAATTACACACCCATGGTCTCTGTTCAGCTGCTCATGTCTGTGGAGTGGGATCAAGGGGTGAGGGCTCGAGCCCATGCTCTGGGGGGGAGGTCATAGACATCCCGGGCTCAGGCTTGGCCGTCTTTGTATCCTCTTCTCCTTCTACCAGGTGTGCCTGACGCTGACAGCCAAGCGCATGGCGAGGAAGAACTGCCTGGTGAAGAACCTGGAGGCGGTGGAGACGCTGGGCTCCACGTCCACCATCTGCTCTGACAAGACGGGCACCCTCACCCAGAACCGCATGACCGTCGCCCACATGTGGTTCGACAACCAGATTCACGAGGCCGACACCACCGAAGACCAGTCTGGTGATTGGGCAGGCCAAAGGGGGGTAGGGGTCTGGCAGGCGTCCAGGACACGGGGTGGGGGAGTGGGTGGAGAGGAGTAAGAGCTCCTGGTTCTCCCTCATGTTCTCCCAGGGGCCACGTTTGACAAGCGATCGGCCACTTGGACGGCCCTGTCTCGGATTGCTGGCCTCTGCAACCGTGCCGTCTTCAAGGGTGGGCAGGAGAACATCTCTGTGTCTAAGGTAGGGGGTCAGGGCCATCTCCACAGCCTGTGCCCTGTGCTCTGTGCTGATGCCCAGCTTCCCCCATGCCCTGTGGTGGCCTCCCGGTCCTCCATCCTCCTCTGGCCACACCGGGACACTGACTTCTCTCCTGGCAGCGGGACACAGCTGGGGATGCCTCCGAGTCCGCTCTGCTCAAGTGCATCGAGCTGTCCTGCGGCTCCGTGAGGAAGATGAGGGACAGGAACCCCAAGGTGGCGGAGATTCCTTTCAACTCCACCAACAAGTACCAGGTCTGGTCAGGGAACAGAGACGGGGGGAATAGGAGGGACAGAGTGAGGGGTGCACAAAGCCAAGGGGGAGTCATCAACGGGAGAAGGGGAGGCATCCGGGGGTCTGGTCCTCTTACCCATGCCTGATTCCCCAGGGCGACTCGGGTGATCTCCTGTCTGGTCATCATCACCCCTCAGCTCCTGACCTTCGTTCCTTCATTCCCCCCACCCTCTCGACTCTTCTCCCAAGAGCTCCCCATCCTCTGGCCCCAGGCTCTCCACCCTCCCATCACGCTCGGTGGAACCGTACTTCTGAAGTTCCCTTAGCACATCTCTCCCCCTGCAGGCAGGCCCCTGCGAAATGCCCCTGACACAGTCTCAGCTGCATCCCGTGTGGGTGAAGGCTCTCCGAGGCCAGTGTAGTGGTGGGGAATGCTGACAACACAGCCATCTAGCCCAGTGGTCGGCAAACTCATCAGTCAACAGAGCCAAATATCAACAGTACAACGACTGAAATTTTTCTTGAGAGCCAAATTATTTAAACTTAAACTTTTGCTAATGCCACTTCTTCAAAACAGACTCGCCCAGGCCGTGATATTTTGTGGAAGAGCCACACTCAAGGGGCCAAAGAGCCTCATGTGGCTCGAGAGCCCCAGTTTGCGGACCACGGATCTAGCCCAGGCACAAAGCCTGTCTTAAGTGATCTTAATAGACATTTGCTGAGTCAGTGGGTGTCCTAGGAAGGGGACTCTCAGGTTACAGGGTTGGGACTTTTGCTTCAAACATCTCTCCACACACAAAAGCTGTGTCCCTGTGCCCACAAGGGTGGATGAGTCAGAGGTGGTTTTATTAAGGGAGGGCTTCTTACCAGCCTCTGCCCTGGGCATTGGGACTAATAAGACTATTATGGCCCCCTCTGTCTCTGCCCATCCTCTCTCCAGCTGTCCATCCACGAGCGAGAAGACAGTCCCCAGAGCCACGTGCTGGTGATGAAGGGGGCCCCGGAGCGCATCCTGGACCGGTGCTCCTCCATCCTGGTGCAGGGCAAGGAGATCCCGCTGGATAAGGAGATGCAGGATGCCTTCCAGAACGCCTACATGGAGCTGGGAGGGCTCGGCGAGCGAGTGCTGGGTGAGGGGCCCGGATCAGGGAGCAGGGAGCAGGGCTGAGCGGGATGCCCATGCCTCAGTGGCTTCCCTGGAATGAGGAGCTTTGGGGTGTTCAGGAAGCCACCTGGCTGCTCTCAATCCTCCCTTCTGCCCCCTGCTTCCCCCTTCAGGGTTCTGTCAACTGAATCTGCCCTCCGGGAAGTTTCCCCGTGGCTTCAAATTCGACACCGAGGAACTGAACTTCCCCACGGAGAAGCTCTGCTTCGTGGGGCTCATGTCCATGATCGACCCTCCCCGGGCTGCTGTGCCCGACGCCGTGGGCAAGTGCCGGAGTGCAGGCATCAAGGTACTGGTCTCACTTCTTCCTTTTCCCCCTCCCCCTCCCCCCTCCGAAGGTCAAGAGATGGCGGGGGCTATTGGCCTGGGGACACCCAAGCCCCTGGTGAGCTTGTCCTCACTGACCGAGAGGGGCAGCTGTCAGCTGCAAGGAAAGGCCGGCCCCTGCCTCGGAGAGCTCACCCTTCCTGTCCCCTGTGCTCAGAGTGCCCAGTCTCCCGGCCTGAACCTCTCCCTCCCTGGCATGGCTCATTCTGTTCTGATGGCAAGCTGATAGGCACTCCTATCTTGGTCATGTGGTGTGGTGCCCCTCCCAACTACTGCCCACTGTCCCTAGCCATTTGGGATGGGGTTGGCAGGCTCCAGTCTGCATCCACTCCCTGACCCCCCAGAACGCTGCAGACTGGCTCCAGCACCCATTCCCCTTACCACCCTCTCCCATGTTTCCTGGTCCAGTTGTAATAGCTTCTCAATGGCCATTCCTTCCGTGGTGCTGCATTTAACAAATACTTTTCATTTACCAACTATATACCGGGCACTGTTCAAGTGATCAACAAACAACCCAACATAAATCCCTTCCATCTTGGAGCTTACTTTCCTGTTTCAAAGATATCTCACTTTAAAAAAACAAAACAAAACAAAAAACACAAACTCACAAAGATACAGCATTTAGCCCCGGCTGGTGTGGTTCAGTTGTTGGCGTGTCGGCCCGTGCAACGAAGGGTCTACAAGTTTGATTCCCGGTCAAGGGCACGTAACTGGCCTGCAAGTTCCCTCCCTGCCCCCAGTCAGGGCGCAAGTGGGAGGCAACCAGTCAATGTAACTCTCCCATATCAGTGTTTCTCTCTCTCCCCCCTGCTTACTTCCCTCCCTCCTTTCCACTCTCTGGAAAGCAATGGAGAAAATATCCTCTGGTCAGGATTAACAACAAACAAGCACACAGAAAGACAGATGCACACTTTAACGCTCCCCCTCAACCTAGTGACTCTCCAGGGAAGGTTCCATTGCTTCCTCCTCTTTTTCTCAGCATCACCCCTATCACCACGTAAGTTCCACTCAACCTGTCTCCCGAGGGTCAGGTGTTGCGCTAGGCACGAGATTCAGAGATGAATAAGATACAGCCTGAGTGCCAGAGTTCATGGTCTCTCAGGGAAAACGAATGCCTTTACAATTGGTTAATCACAGGACAATCACAATAGTTAGGATAGATGAGCACTGACTATCGGTCAGATACTCTAACAAAAGCAGCCAATTGTTTTGTAAGACTTTGTATGAACCAGGCACTAAACCTGTAACATCTCATTTTAATCTTCATAACAACCCTATGAGTAGACACTAATGTTTTCCCTTTTTCACACAGAGGCACACGTAGCATGCCCAGGAACACACAGTCCACAAGTGGTAGGGCCAGGATTTGAACCGAGGCAGTCTGCTACTTCTCAGCCACCACACCAGAGGACTAGTCTGTATATATCTGTCTGTGCATAGTTTCTGAATCCTCTACCACTCACTCTGTCTCTGAGGTAGGCTTCACTTTCCCCATTTCAAAATAAATCTAGCTGAGACTTAGCGTGGGAATGCAGCTTTCCCCAAATAAATCTGCAGGTAAGAAGGGGGTTGGCTATATCAAGCATGGCCTGCTTCTCCGCTGCCCTGCTCCTTCATCTGCCTCTTGCCATGATCAGAGCCATCACAGAGGCCTGGGGAAGTCCCTCCGAGGGCAGCCACGGCAGGGAGCAGTTAATTCCGCCTTGGGAAATTGGACAATGTTTTATAGAGGGCATGATATCTGATCTGGGCCTTGAAGGTTGACAAATATTTTGTAAGGCCTCGAGGGAGAGGAAGGCAGGTCAAGAGCAGGGAACAGCGTGTACTCTGCGGTGAGACTGTACCGGGCATTTGCGTGGGTTGCAGGGAGAGGTGGCAGAGGAACACTGGGAATTGAGACTGAGACGGGCCAGGGCCAGTTGGGAGGACTTTATGCCAGACTTGGGCTTTTATCCGGGGGCCACATGTGTCACAGGACACTCTAGCTTCTAGATGGAGGAAGGCCTCGATTTGGAGAAGATCTGAAGTCAGGGAGACAGGCAAGAAGAAACTGCCATAGTTCAGGCAAGGGATGGTGACGCAAACAAGGGCAGAGACAAAGGGAGTCGTTACATTCAAGGAACCTTGTGAGAACTTGGTGACGAAACTGGATATGGGAGGAGAGGAAGATACAGGAGACAAGGGCCTGCATGGAAGAGGGATAGTGTCTAAAGCCGGGAGTGGAGCAGCAGGCACGGTGGTGCTGGTGGTGCTGGTGGTGCTGGTGGTGCTGGTGGTGGTGGAAGTAGAGATAGTGACCTC